TATATATATATATATATATATATCATTGAAAACGTAAGGATTACATTAGATTTCGTTGGTTACATCTAACCCCAAAAAAAATGGGTAGAACCACTCAAAACAATGAGGGTAAATACAAAATAGAGATGAAGGAAGAAATGAAGAACCGAAGGAAAGACCCACACACGAACGGTTCCAAGCTCCGGGAATCCCTTCCACAGCTCCTAAAACGCGCCCAATGTGTGAATGAGGAGGAGAGCCCCGAAAATGTCTTCAAATACGAGCTTGGGGAGTCAGATTAGGGTATACGCGCCTGGCGCATAAGTCTTCGTGCCCGGCGCAGGCCTTCCAGGAGGGTTAAGTACTCTCTGCCTTAGGGCACGCCCGGTGCAATTCCATTTACGCCCGACACGAATATGACTTCCAGAGGTGAGATACTCTGTTTCGCTCAAGCCCAGCGCGGGTCATCTTGCGCCCGGCGCAAAACCTCTTCCCTGCTCCTTAACTTCTTAAATTTCCAATCCTATGGGTCTTCAATCCTCAAGTCTCTAGCTCAATACCTGCACAAAAAATGAGGTGTATTAAGGTATTATTAGCTAAATTTGGGTTAGTTATATCTGCACACAAAATGAACCAAAAAGAGAACAATTATATTGCAATGGTTCAGAGGATGAGTGAAATTGTTCAATAAGTCTCATTCAAAAAGAAGTATAATTGAGACTTAACACATGGTAACTCGATTTTTTAGATGTCTCCACTTAAACAAGGAAGTATAGTACTAACATCAGGATAGAACAAATGGGTATAGGCTTACCACTATATTAGCTAGCTTAACTAAGTCTCCTATAGAATTAGTCCACCGACTATCCTCCAAATACTACAACCTTCCGATACTTGGTTAGGAACTAAGTTTTTGACTTTGTATTTTACTCGGTTGGTCACTTGTAATCAGTATAGCTTGATTTGCTCCCTTACTATGATCGATTCATACACGTGTGCTTCGACCTTACCCACATACGGTACCAACAAAGTCTTAGAGGAGAAACAACACAACACCCACTTCAAGGATCAACTTCCTAAGAAGAATTTTCAACAAATTGGGCTCTTAGAGCACCAGAATACTTTATCCACATAATGGAATAAGCGACTTTTGAAAAATCTCCTCTAGTTCTAAATGGTCAACACAACTCAATCAACGCAACAACTTATTATATTTTTAACACAATAACTCAATCAACTCACAACTTTAATCACTTCATAAAATATTCAACTACCTTACTAATTAAAAGTAGGACAAAATTTAGGTATTATAATTAAAAGAGTAAATTATTTTAATAAAATTATATCTAAAAAATAATAATACATTTATTGTTGTTGTCATAATCCGTATAGAAAGAAAGCTTAACATGCATTGATTGTCGAACGGTGGGAATAATAAATCTAAAATATATAAATGCTACATTAATAGCATTAAATATCAAATTGACGCGTAGGCGAACAAAATTTTACTATCGGTCTATAGCTTTATACGGAGTACTTATCTTTGAAAAATTGAAATTTTACGATGTTTTAAGACCACTAAAAAATTACTTCCTAAAAAATTTGATATTAAAAATATTAATTTTTTATATTTGATTTGTTATTTTAAAAAAATAATAATTTTAATAAATAATTTTATTATATATGGTGAACACAACAACTAAGAGTCTAAGATGCATCTGCATCTATTCTGTTGTAAATTGTAGCTAGCTAAGCTTAGCCACCACAAACTAAGACTAAGAAACACCTTTATTTTTCTAAATTGTAGCCAGCCACCTCTCTTATTTCTAGCCACAGTCAAACACGTATGCTTATCAACACTTTTCTACTCTTTCTTTCTTCTAACCTTCTCTCTAAATAATGATCATTAGTTATTGTTAACAATGCCGAGTTAATTCCTTTGGATCTCCGAATTTAATTATATTCATTGGACAATAAAAATGCAGGAGAAACAGTACTGATGGACGATCTACGGCGAATTGATAATAAAAGAGGAATATGAAGATTGGAGTTGCATGGCATTCTGTTCATTACACCACATGGCTTGGCACACAACTCAATGTCTCCATGCTGCCGCTAAGACAATCTCATCTTGTAACATGAACAAAAAAAATCAAACATCTTTCTCTTTCTGTTTTTCACATTTTATAACATTTATTACGGATAACAGATCTTTTCGAATATTTTTTTATTATAGGCAAAAAAAATTATTAAAAATTAAAATTTGTTACAATCTTACTTATATATATATATATATATATAATTTCTAATTAAAATAAAAAAAATGTTAAAATTGTGTTAAAAGAGTGCATTACGATAACACTCTAGTCTTTTAACATGCATATATGTACTTACAACTTCCATTATAAATCTTCTGTTCTCTATTCCTTGATTAAATATTTAGGCCACTTGGAGTTTGTGTTAAGAAATGACGAGGAAAATATTAGAATATTACTTGCTAATTAATAAGGGTCAGCATAAGTGGTAGCAACGATACCTGTTCATGAAAGAGTTTTTTGGTTGCATTTTGCTTTTTAATGGTAACGTCACCCAAATGTTAGGTGGTGGCTAGAAAATTGAGACATGCACTGACCTTGAACTGTGAGGCTTAATTATAATATATATTAAATCCCCTTAAACTTTTTTGGTCTATAGTTATATTACTGTATTCATGGACTCATGTATGGTTTCTGACACAATCTGACCAACCATAATTTGTGCCGTACTTGTCCTCTTGTGTGGCGTCAAAATAAGCAGCTGTTGTTATCACTAATAAAGTGCTGTTGATGTAATGGCTGCAATGCAAAGAGACCATATTGGATTCTATATATTTTCCTTCCTATGATCTCTTACGCATGCCTTCT